TGAATGTTTTATTCAAGGAAGCATCTCCAAATGACGGGGATCAAGAGGTTTCAGCTGGAGGGCCTGAGAAGTGGCAGCAAGAGGCCCCGGCGGTGCAGCAGGGCGGCGAGGGGGCCCCGCTGGGATGGATTTCCGCAGATTGCGGGAGCGCTGTGACTCTTGGTGCTGCAAAAAACATTTCAGGTGAAAGTGAGACTTACAAAGGTTTGTGTAAAGAGATGGAAGTCAATGAATGCTGCAAGGGTTTGCATTCAAGGACTTCTCTGTTTCAAATTTGCAGAAGAATTGTGATGTTCACTTCATTCGACGGCTTTGTTGTGCACTATTGTGCAGTGTACAAACACCATTCAATGCATTTTCCTCATCCGTTGAATCCGCTCTCACCCTTTTGAAGCTGCAGTGGCAATTGCAACACCTTGTGGCGTTGCTTTTGCTGCTGCTGCAGCAACAGCAACACCTGCACCGTGTCGTGGCTTTGCTTACGGCTGGTTTCTCGAAGTTCGCACTCATGTTTATTCGCAGCGCGTTTTATACACTTAAGCTCATACTTTTGCTATTTATGTCTTATTCTTGAATTTTTTCAGGTCCTTTGTCGGCACAACTCAGTCGTTTGCTGCCTGCCGTCCTTTCTGGTTTCCAGTTGGGCTCACTTGCAGGGCCCCTTGCGGAAGAACCCATTAGGTAGGCATTCAACTCTAAGAAATGCAATATTTTCTCAAAGAAGTGCAATCTTTTAAGTAAAAGGCAGCTGCATTCAAGCATTTTTGGTCTTCAGTTTGAAGGAAGTAGACCGGCAACAGCTAACACAATCACACATGGAAAGAAAGACTACGTGTTAATGCGTGCACGTGTACATGGATGTACGAATAAAGTGACAGTATAGGAGCATGCAAGCATGCAGAAAAGCGCATAAATGTATAATATTATATGTGCATATGTACTTCAATGCATGCGAGGCTGTGCAAGTCATTTCATGCGCGAAAACGCGCCAACCTCAAGCATGTATACTTGCTTCCCCAACTGGGTAAAAATATGAAAATCAGCCATACGAAAAGACTTACATGAGCACATCTAAAGTGGGCACATGTAAAGAAGAGCACATATCCGTTTCCACCTACTTACGCGTGTGCACACTTCTGCGCAATTATTTGAGTGTACGAAACAATCCCGAAGACGTGCATGCATGCGCTCAGCCACGCACAGTGCGTTGTTGTGCTGCCAGGGGTGTAGCCTTCACAGTTGAGGCCCTCGCATTTGGGGAGGGCTTTTTGGGGGCCTCGCGGCGGGGTCCCCAGAACGCGCCTGCTGCTTCAGCAGCAGGAACAGCAGACCCAGCAGCAGCAGCTGCTGCTGTATCTGTTGCCGCGGCAGCAGCGGCAGCTGACGAAGCCGCAAGTGTTTGTTCACGAGAATCGAAATTGACCGGCAAACAAACAACAACTGGTCCTTTGTCTGTCCATTCTTACGTCGGCTCAGGGCAGGTGAGACTGAGGTGTGCAGAAGCCGTAGTGGGGAGGTATCGCATATTCACTTAGTTGCATCGCACTATTGTTTTTTCAGTTGTGATTTACCATTACCATTGCTGTTTTTTGTATTTCAGTGCTTTATTTTCCTAATTCCAAGCTGCTGTTTCCTAGGTGCCGCCACACGCAAAGACAGGCATTAGGCAACTTGCCACATTTGCACCAGTTACACCACATTGAGCAAGTCTATTAGAAGGACTGCTCAGCCTCTGAAGTATTTTAGATCATGATTTAAAGGCCTAACATCTTTACTCTAAAAGTGCCCATCGTGCAGCTCGCAGGACCCAACTCCTAAATAGTTTAGGCCGTAGGGCCTGCTCTGCTCTGTACTGTAGACCGGCAGCTGGAAACCTTTAGATTCAAATTCTTGAAATCGCCTCGCCTTATGTCATTTGGAGCATCTCTGTTTTTTGCCAACGATTGTTAGTATTGCATGCGTATTTGTCAAGGGCTTCTGATTTCACGAGTGGTCTTCTGAGTTGTGAGTTGTGGTTTATCTGCATAGGTAATATCCATGTGCGGATCACACGCTTGGTTGCGTAGTTTCTGCAAACTCTAATCGAAACATTGTTTTGCCACATGCCTAAGGTCGTCACTTGCGCTTCGTGCATGTCCTTGATTTGCACTTTCGGTCTTTTACTGTGGCCAAGGCTAAGCAAGCAGGGAATGCACAGCCCTCACGTTCCGACTGAGCTGTACTTAGACGTGGATGCGTGTACACTGCAATTTCAGGTCATTTCTGCAATGAAGGAGGCGTGCAGGGCCGCAATGCTTCAACGAGGACTCTGCAGAATATGCGAGGCAATGCTAAGATTTAGTAGGCGCTACACTTTGTGCTCCCTTTGAAGTCTTAAGCACAGAAGCTCCACGAAGCTCCTGAGCAAATCTTTGTTGTCAATTTGTTTAGTGACTGGAGTACATGAGTAACAGTACAGGGCTTCAACATACGCGCATGTGAAAAATTGCCACTTACTGGAAGTCCCTGTGTACGCGGTCCGAATGAGCAAAAATATCTGCTTGTTTTCTTCATTTCTTGCTTCTAATAAGTTGCTTTCCTTCAACATGAAAATAATGATGATGCGTTTATTCATTTGTCTGTGCATCGAAACGACACAGCACTGAGTTGCGACCAGCGGGTGATAGGCAAAGCCTATTCTGTCCTGGCGAGGCGCAGAGGCAAAATAATCAAAGAGGAAGTCCCGGAAGGCCAAACATCATTTGTCGTCTTTGGGTTTTTACCAACGGCGGAAGCCCCGGGAATTAGTCAGGAAATAAGGCAAGAACTTATTAAACACCAGCTCTCAGCGTTCCAGAACACGAATCACAAGCGTTGCTTAGCAAGGTTGAAGACAGCTTACACGTTCACAGCAGCGAAAATCGTGAACCTGGAATGACTGATGGCTTCTAAAGCCTTTGCCTGTAAACGTAACGCGATGAGTGCCATAGGAATTTCATTCGTAATGCACACTCACCAGAGCATAAAAACAAATTCTACGTTGTACTCATGCTTCACCGGCATTTGCTTGCACTACAGGATTCATGTATGACTTTGCGGCTATATTTGGGCAATATTTGCACCACGTTGCTGTTATGTACGTAGATTTATGCTGCATCCACATTTACATTCGTATTCATCTTTGGTTGGATCCATTTTTGTCCAGGTCCAAGGCATCGGGCCACGCCTCTCTACAGTTGCAATTTTCCCACTGGGAAGTACTTCAAGAGGAGCCTTTCCCCGAGGCCTGCATGACTGAGCAGGTCCGTAAAGCTCAGAACTTAAACTCTAGGACCTGAACTTAGAGCTCAATATTTATTTAGGTTTCGTCGTTCGATTTCAAAGAGTGAAAGCTTTGAGTTCGACTCTGAGGCCACAGGCTGGATGCCTGTGAGGGCAAAAGGCGTCCTGTTTTCGGAATCAGCTCAGAGTTTAGGGTTTAGGGTTATTTGACTTGGGCAAATCCGTTTGCATGCGTTTGCGGAGAGTATTTGCGTGCTGTCTTACATTCAGGAACTCGAAGACGAAGGGGAAGCGGCTTTGTCTTCTTTGGCGACCCAGATCCATGCACGAGCTATCATCAATTCCATCAGGAAAAGCAAAGTAATTGGGATTGAGCTCTGAGCATTCATTCCTAGCCACTAAACGCAATATTTTAAGGGTCGAGTACACCTCTCCAGCAAACCCTGTATTCTACATGGGGGCCTTTACAATTAATTAAACCGGGAATTTCAGATGCGGCAATGTGAAACCAGACCGTGATCTCGGATGCTGAGTCTTTGGGTCAAACCTCACAACACTAAATTATAGATACGTGAGTTCTCAGGTCTTTGGCTTATTTTGTGTTTGTTTGGGCTTTCCGCAGGGTCTTCCCACTGAAGAAAAGGTTGTCAATGATGCTGAAAAGCAGAGGACTCTATCTCGAAACAAATGAAAATAATAGACACAGCGAAGAGAGATGCCCTGTTTTATTTCTTCACACCGTTTTGTGTGCACATGGCTCGTCAGACTCATGTTTTTTTCTTTAGTTCCTGTTCTAATGGAGATACGACTTACTGGCACTGCCTGTTGTTGGAGTCCTCACAAACTCAGAGTAATGAAATAAAGCGCAAGCAAAAGAAGCGGAAATGAAGACAATAAAGAACACAAATGCGTGCAAGCAGATGCAGAGCGAACCAATAGTGGTTCACCGGTACGCTGTATCCCCTTTCAGTTGTATCAGCTTGTCTGCTTTTATTGTTAATTGATCTTCTTAATTGTAAGCGACTTGCACAGACCCGAAATATGCTGTCAGTAGTGCACTAGTGCCGTATCCGTGTCTAATTTAGGGCATTAGTGTTGAAGTATGTGCGCATATGTATGTAAATGTACCGGCGTATTTACTTGCGCAAATTGAATTGATGCTCATGTATTTAGTTAAAATCATGTTTCGTCTCCAGCGTGCAGATGGAGTGAAATTCCGTTATTACTATGCGGATGCTGCTTCTGCAAGGAGAGCAGCGCTACGTTAATTCCCTACAATTAAATATGCATGAACACAAGAGCAAATGTGAAAACATGTCTGAGAGAAGAAAAAATGCATGAACAGAGCGCAAGCATGATGATGCATCTACGGCCGAAAGTGCATGCACGGTTAACAAAAAATGCACGAGCACATGAACATGAATATAAATGCAGCCTAAAGAAAATCTAAACCCAGCTCCATACTTCTCGGAGGCTGGGAAGCAAACAAACACTTAGAAGGAAAACGAAATCCTGTACAACGAAGCAGCAGCACCAATTGCTGCAGTTGCCGCTGCAGCACGCAGACGGTCTGGCAAATTCGCTATGGTGGGGCACGCAGCAAGGAAATTTTTACTGCAGCAGCTGCTGCTGCAGCTGCTGCCGCTGAAGCTGGTGCCGCTCCAGTTGGTGCTGCTGCAGCTATTTCTGCTGTAGCACCTGTTGCGGCTGCGGCAGTGCAGCTGCCTCCGTAGCTGCTGCTAGGATGAGAAAACCTTGCAGGGCAAGAGAAACCAGCAAAGGGGGATTTGCATGCATGCAGTGATTGCAATAACATAAGAGGCACAGGAGCCCCGCGCAGTGCCTCCCTGCAGGTAGGCTGCTCTGGCTTCCTTGCCAGCGGCGTCTGACCGCTTAAGCAAAACGAAGAGTTCTGCTGCAGCACAGCACGAAAGGTAGACAAAAAGGCAAATAAACAGGAGGGGCCGGCTGTTTGCTGCTGCTGCTGCGGCCGCGGGCTCCTCTGAAGAGAACTCGTCTGCAGAAACAGCATTTGCGGAGGCTCTCGAGGCTTCCAGCGCGTCTAGCAAGATGCGCAGCAGCAGCAGCAGCGCAACATTGACATATTTGTAGCCGCAGAAGCACAGCAAGTCCGCTGCTGCAGCAGAAGCAGCCCCCGTTATGTACAGCACCAGCTTCAGGAGCCCCACTTCGCCCAGCAGCAGGCAAAGTGCAAGAGAAAAGGTCGAGCCCAGAAGCTCCGGGTAGAAAGTTCCTTGTGTTCCTGTTTGGATGCCGACGAGAAGAACGAAAGTGGTGAGGGCCATGAGGGGTATGTACAGGTCGCGTTCAGGTGTATAGGGAGCTGAGGCCCCGCTGCTGATGTCCGAAGAAGCCGCAACTGTCATTCGCGAAGAAGAATCTTTCATGAAAAGAGCTCTGAAGGGAAAGAGCAACTGCCCCAGCCGCAGGCGCACGTAGCTCTGGCTCACGCTGAAGTACGGCCGCAGCGACAGCAGAAACGACGGAAACTGCTGCTGCAGCATGGACACGTGCTTCTCCGCCTGCACTGTCAAGTTGTCGGCCACGGAGTGCAGCACCATGTTCATCACCTGCTGCTCAGCGCTGGGGCCCCCTGATCCCGACACCTGAGGGGGCCCCTGCTCAGTTGGGGGCGCGTCGGAACGAGGGGGGGCCCCCTGTCCAAAGGGGGAGCTCCAGACGCCGCCCGCATGGGCCACAGAAGGGTTGAAGGGGCCCCCAGGGGCCCCCACGGAAGGGGGCCCACCCATGGGGGCCCCGTAGGCAGGGCCCCCAAAAGATCCTCGGTGACGGTAGTCAGCGCCTCGGGCTGGAGTTGGGGCCCAAGAGGTTGCAGGATCCCCTTGGGGGCCCTCAGCAGCAGAAGGAGGGGCCCCTCCCCCCATGTCGGCGGAGCCAACTGAAGACAGCGGGCGCATCGGCATTGCAGGGGGCCGAGAGCCGTAAGGGGCCCTTTCCCCAATAGGGTGGCCCCCCCTTGGGTAGAGATCCATTAGTTTCTGGGAAAGACTGGGAAGGTTTCTAGTTGGTGGTGCCTGTAGGCTGGGGTCACGGTGTTAGACGCTGCTGCAGTGGCGGGGCCTGCAGCCCAGCATGCCTGCACTCGTTGGCCGGACGAAAGGACTAAAGGAAAAAGAAAAAGTCAATCGAAACTCGAAAAAACAGAAAGAAATAGTCTAGAGACATCTGCCGCGAGAAACGGTCACGCAAGCTTCTCTACACATACAGCGGCGGTGCGCAGCGACAGCGCGGTTTTGCCGAAATACGGGGCTTTTTCAGAAACTGAAAAATCCACTCCTCCTCAAAATTGAGGAAATCACCATTGTTGTATCAAGGTTTCCCCTGTCTCGCTGCTGTTTACTGCAGTGAGAACAATAGAATGAGCGGCAGGCAGCCCCAAACACAAACCATCATCAGCCCCGTGCAGACCGGAGCGTTTGTTGCCTGTTTAAGAAGGAGAAGAGCGAATTTATTTTACCGCAGCTTCCAGAATATTCTTAAATCTCGCTGTCCATATGCCCCTTCACCAACACAGCTGCTGAGCTTAACTCTCAGCATCTTCACATCCGGGAAGGAACTGGTTTCAGATGGTCCTCGAAGCTGGCTTCTCCCATTCAACAGAGGTCCACTAGTTGCTAGACCAGCTGAAGAAGCCCTCGGTGATGATCTTTCATAAGCCCTTGGAAGCAGCAAAGGCGCTGCGCAGCTTCTGAAGTCTACCAAGAAGATATTCAAATTGAGAGCCCTCCCACACCATCACCCTGCGCCTTCACCGCAGCACCATGCTTGCGGACACGCGATCTGCGGGGAAGCTCCGGGGTGGCCGGTGGCCCCGCGCGACGAATCAGCAGACAGAAAGCTGGGTCAGTAGGATGTTGCAGGCAGTCAGTGAGCGCAACGGCGAAGCCTTTTCGGAGCTGATCCGCCACTTGGATTCCATCATTCCCGACGAGGAAATTGCAAATATGCCGGAGGTAAGACTACCAATTGCTAGTTAGTGCTTTTCAACCGGTGTATGGCGCTGAATAGTTGACAGAGCTCAAACCGAAACAAAGAAGCGCACATTGATGCGAACCCGCAAACACTGTGATCGCCAGAGTAGGGGCATATTATGCCCGGCTACTCTTTTTATTGCTTTATTTGCTTTTATGGGAACACATAGTTTTGTTCGTTGGTCTGCTGCTTGTGCATGTGTGAATAACTGCGTGTATGTGCCTGTTTTTGTACCTCTCTGGGCACGCCCGCATATGATATGTCTCGGCGTGTGCCGTGCAGGCAGTGTTCTTCCCTAAAAGTGAAGTTAGAACCGAAAACTAAGACTTATTTGCACTCGTGGATCTGTGCATGTTCAGATAAATGCGCACTCGTAGATATGTAGGCAAAGATTCACGACCCCACAGCAGCACTCACCGACCCAAAAGACTCAGGAGCACGCTCAGTGGTTCGGACATTGAAAAACCAAGAAGGCTTTTTCCAGAAAATTATCTTTTGTAGCTGTTGCTTGCTGTTTGCCGCAGACAGTGATGACTGCCGTAGTGAACACCAAGCTGAAGGAGGCTTCTCTTCCGAAGGCTGCAGACACTGCGTTTAAGCGCCTGTTTTTTTCCTTCCTAAAGCTGAGACAGTTGCGGTGCACATTGAGGTGGGGAGACGTAGTGCGGCAGTGCATATCTGTGCTAGATCTCTACGTGGACTTGTACGTGGGGGCCCCCGCGGCCAGCTGCTCCTGGCTGGTGCCGGGACTGGCTGCGCTGTGCACGATAATGAGCCGCGCGGCCTTTGCTGCGGACAGCAGCAGCGAGGACAGCGCAGATCTGCTGGAAGAGGCTGAAGGGGCTGCAGACACCGACGAAATGCAGCACCGATACACGAAACAAATTTTAAATGCCATCAGACCTAAGCTAGGAAAGGTCCGAGGGGAGGAGGCCCGACATGGAGCCTACGTGGTGCTTCTTGGGCAGAGCATCAAGCGCTGCTTGCAGCTAGGCAATATGCAGATGGCCGCGGGGTTCCTCAAGCTCTGTGACTCACGGTGAGACAGGCTTTAAAACCTCAAGCCTTGCTGTGAACCCAGCCGTGAGCTCTCAGCTTTCGTAGCTTTGCTGAGCCAAATGCCTTTCGTTTCTTTTCCTATTATTGGGCTGCTTCTTGAGTTGCTCTATTTCTGCCGCGCCAGACAAATCAACTTCAGTCATGCGCCTCGGGGCCCCATGGTGAACTTCCGGTATTATTTAGGTCGGCTCTACATGCAGCAAGAGCAATTCGAGCAGGTAAAACCCATCAATTTAAAAAGCTAACCAATTTATTGTCTGGTTGCAGTTGGGAATAGTCATTTGAGAATAGGCATTTTAGGTTTCACAGGCAGTTTCCTAGGGCCACTGCATACTGCCCAGATTGCGGTGCTTCTGTCCATCTTTAGGTTTTGCTGCACTTAGCTATGACAATGGCGACTCATATGTTCATGTTGTTCCATCAAAATATTTACCTATTCGCCTACGGAATAATCACTGTCAATGGACCATCTACAGTGCTGGGTTTGTGTTGCAGTCCGAATCAGAATTGGTTTGGGCTTTTTCAAACTGTCCGCCCACGAAGATGCGCGTTAGAAGGTGAGCTGTGGCAGGACTTAGCTTAAATTACACACAGTGCCGAGAAAGCCAGGTAATCGCATTCATTCAACCAGTTCTGTTGCTGTTCAGTAGCCTTTTTCAAGCAAATGAGCTCCGAAGTCATTCCATTTCATCTCCCTTTCCCAGTACAAGTGGTCAAATTACTCAGTTTGGTCTTTCTTCGTTGCTGCAGAAACATTTTGGAATGTCTCGTCGCGGCGCGGCTGCGCATGGGAAAGCTGCCAAGCGCAGACTTGCTCAATAAATATCAGTACGCTTACCTGTGCACTCATCTGTGTATGCATTGCAGCTTGCAATTATACAATTATCGCCAAAATTTAGTCCCGCTTTTCAGGGTTATTTGTTTGCCCGTTCATATGTCAGTCTTTTCGTTTCATCGAGGTAGCTTTTACTTGCCATAACCGAAGTAGCAGTGTGTCTTTTGTTCTTTCAGGATGCCTCATTACCTGGACATAATCAAGGCAATGAAAAGCGGCAATTTGTCGCTGTTTGACCGAGCACTTGTGCGTCTTACCTCTGCTGCTGACATAGCGTATGCGGTTACATTGTGGCTGCTGCATGCATTTGGCGTATTGTTCTGTTTCATGAGACAAGTGGGGGAAAACTTGAAATGGTGTGTATTTATCGTTTAGCTTTTCTCTTTTATCTTCATTCTTTACGATTTGCAGGAGCAGCACGAAAGCGTCTTCATAAAACACGGCACAATTTTGTGTGTGGAGCGGCTTAAGTTCATTGTCTTCCGTACCCTGATGAAACGCATGTAAGAAACACAAATGAACCAACAAGAAAGGAAAGAGTGTCAGAAGCAAGCAGAGAAGAAACAAATGCAAGAGATAGTACTAGGCAGCAGTCAGAGCTTGCCTTCCCCCGATAGTTACTGAAACACAGGTACAGCTTTTGCCTGGTTTTGTCTTTTTCTAGGCGTTCCCCCCTTTGATATTTCTCAGTTGTTCCTTTAGTTTCTTCATATGTTTGTTGTAAATTACTTCTCCGCTGCGGCTTGGCTTGCTCTTCAGGAAGCAGTGGTGGTTGGAGTCTGGCTTGGCATCCAAAGCCAACATTGTCCCGATTCAAGTTTTCACTGCAGCCATAAAATGGCAAAGTGACGAACTTTTCGACGACGATGAAGTGAGGAAATAAGTAATCGAGTCAATTCGCGTAAATGATCAGAGCAACTGCCCAATTCTCAGTTGATTTTGTTCTGTTGTTTCGTGATTGAAATAGTTCTAGCCAGTAGAACGCTTCAGTTAGTTAATTTGATTTCTGAACCAGAACCAACACGAATTATCCCTCGAACTTTTGAAACATAGCTGCGCTCTGCTTGTCTTCTTCCTCCTTCACCCCAGCTAGCAAGCAGCATGATTTCAATAAATAGTGGTCTAGTCATTTTCTGTCATTTTCTGTTTGCAGTAGAGCCCGCCTAACAACTTAGTCACATATTTATTTTTATTAATAGTTCTTTCTGCCGTACGCGCGTTGTGTTCACTTGCACTGTCTGCAGATGGCTTGCATCAGCGCGAACCTGATTAGAATGGGATACATAAAGGTGCGTCTGGCATTTTTTTTCATTTAGTTATTTTATTTTGCACATTTGTCTTATAATTTGCTCATTAGATCTACTTTGCATGCGCCGCGGCCCACGCGCCTTTGCTGCACTACTTAGAGGCTTTGCCATTCATGAACATTACTGCTGCAGGGTTACATTTCGTGGGAGCACATGGTGATCGTCTTCAGCAACCAGGAGCCCTTTCCGAGTCTCAAGACATCTCGAGGGGCTTAAAAATGCCAAGATGACAATCTCAGAGCCCTGCTAATACTAGTGTGTGCATGCGTTGGCGTTAAGCATTTGCATGCACCTGCATGCACGCAGGTGCAGGGAAATGCATGCAAGTGCTGGCAGACGTGTCGATGCACACATTTAGGAAAGTTGTGCAGTTTTTCTGTTGGATTGTCAGTTTTAAATTGGCAAGGAGACGACCACCAAAAAGGCACTGATTTGCGCTGTGGTCTGAGCTCATCCCTCGAAGGAAGAAGGGCTGGCAGGCCTCCAGTTTGAACAGAAATGTAGACTCACACAAACATACAATTAATTAATTCATTTAGTGGCTGAAATCCATGTTTCTTTCTGCTGCCCCAGCTGCTGGCAACTCGCTTGGCATTCTTGAACTTCTCTCAATTTGTTTCTGCGGAAGTGGAGGCCCAGAGGGCCCTTGAGCTCTTCTCCTTTTTCGCTGCTTTGGCAACAGAACGCGCATGCCTCTCTGGCGCATGCACTATCCCTCTGTTAGTTTTATTGTCAAGGAACTTTCAGTGAAGCAAAATTCGTTTTAATTAATCAAATTAGCTCAAGTACCTGTTCGCAGTGGCCAAAACCGGCTCCTTGGGTGTCTGTGCATTCCTCGATGAGTTTGCTCAAGTGTATGTGCAGCTCCTCTGCATGCGCTTGGTTCTGTTTGCATCTCTTCAAGCATTTATATTTTTCAGGAGCTTCGAGCAGCAAGGTGCTGTTGCTGCAGCAATGGCTGCAGAAGTCCTCAGCGCAGATCTTCGCCCTCTTCGGGTTTCTGCTTTCCATCAGACTGCACTCGTGTTGCCGCTGCAGCGGGTGGACAGCCTCTACACAGCTTTTCCTGTGGCGCAGTTATGTTTTAGTTCAAATCAACTCAAGCAATAGTTGCAACTTGAAATGAAGCCAAGACTCACCAGGGCGCTGCTGCTTCGCTGAATTTCTGGCGGCTGGTTCGGCGCTTTGCTGCTGCCTGTCGCCGCACATGAATTTCAAAATATTTTTTCATTCAAGCAGTTTCAACAAAGAGGCCACCAACACCCACCTTGGTCCTCAGCGGCGCCGGCAGGCCCCAGCGGAATTGGTGCTGCTGACTGCTGCTGCTGCTGCTGCTGCGGAATCGGCTGGAGCTGCCTTGTCTTAGCTGCAGGCCTTTTGAAATGGGCGAGCAGGGGGCAGCGTCGACTCGGAAGTTGTCAAAGAGGACTCCTCGTTTGACCCCGGAGACGAAGAGGCCGGCAGTTCCCGAGAGGAAGCCTTCATCGAACATGCTGTATAGTGGAATTCGAAAAATAATTATATTTGTTGCATTTTTTGACCCGAAATTTGATAAATAACTTTATTTTTTGCATTTTTCGACTTTTCGGCGCATTTTTTCAACTAAGAAAGCCCCAATGCAGACTCACTCCAGCGCCGGCCTCCAGTGCTTCTCCCCCTCGCCCACGGCCACCTTTATGCGGCCGTGGTGCAGCTCTATGCGCAGACGGTTCCAGCTGTTCTCTGTGTAGCACTGCGGGCTTTCAGTTTGCTGCAGCAGAAAGGCCTCGCCGTCTTCGACTCTGTGCAGCAGCAGCTGGTGAGGCTCATTGCTGGCTGACAGCAGAAACAAGTTCTGCAGGTCTTGCATTCTGAAGGCGACTCCGACGGTGCCTTTGTCGAAGGGCTGAGCCGGAAGACAAGTTCAGATTCGGCAAAGGATCATTTAGTTGGCGGCTTTTATCTTTTTAATTTATTATTCTTTCGTAATCTGAATGTTTTGTTCAGGTTCTCACGAAAAAATCCACGTGAATCACGCCGTCGTAGAAACGGCGCCCCTTCAGAAAAGCAAAAGTTCCTTCCGTGGGCCTCCGCCCCTTCACCGGGGCGGACTGACCAATGGTCTTGGTGTGTTTCTTATTGGTGTGTTTCTGATTGGTGTGTTCATTTAGCTGCACTTCTGCGTATCCCCAGGAGCTCGGGCCCCCTGTGGCTCTGTAGCTGTCGGCGGTTTCAAACACATCGGAAAAGGCATCTCGAGTGTAGTTGAGGCTGAAGGACTGAAAGCCTGTTTGGCTCCGTCTCTGCTTCTCCACTTTTCCCAATTCATATATCAGAGCGTCCAGATCTGCGCCGACGGCCCCCGAGCTGTTCAGCAGAGCCGTCGCTGCGCCTTCCGCCTGCTGCAGCCTGCATCAGCAGCAGCAGCAGCAGCAAGGAAAGCTGTATGAAAGCAGCAGCTCTTGGCTGCTCTGCAGCAATGGGACTCACAGGTCGCCCGTTGAGCTCAGCACTTGCTGCTGCAGCAGGGCTGCAGGCATCAGTGCCTCTTCCAGCGCTGCAGTGGCCTCTGCTGCTGCTGTCTGCGCCGCAAACACGTTTGTGGGGTCTAGGCCGTGGACTTGGTCTGCAGCAGCAAGAAGCATCCGCAAGATGCATGCACGAACGCAGGTGGGATCGGGAAACGAACTGAGACCCAGGAAAGACCAGCAACCCACCTAATGCCCCCAGCACGTCGTTGATTACAGCAGCCATCATGGGGTCTATCATCACATCTTCAGCTTTCTCGTTCGGAGTTTCCGAGACAGCAGCACCAGCGGTGGTCGAGACTGCGAGCTCGATGAAGGAACTCGACAAACTCGAAAGACTCTCGATGGGGCAGTCCTGCAGAGCGGGCATGTAAGCAATGGTCAAATAATCAAACAATCAAGTAATCAAATTTAGTAATATTAGGAAGAAGTGTGCAATTTGATAAACTTTAGTTCAATTGAGGCATTTGTCGCGCATTCGGCATATAATAAATACGGAACATATCGATTTTTTCAAATTCAAATTGCATGCAAGGTGGGCTTGGTGAAATTTTTACTTTTGCAACTGGCACAATTCGAACGCTGCGCGTCACTCGCCCCCTGCGTTTGCTGGGCAGGCCGCCTCCGTTTTGCTGCTGCTGCTGGTGTTGCTGCTGGAGGTCTGTCTTGAGCTCGTTAGTGAGTTGAATGGTGTTGGGGGTATTCAGGGCCTCCGACTTGACTCCGTTGCTTGTAGAGCCCTCATAGGAGGGCAAGCTGCTCTCCAAAGAAACACTAGCGAGACCGCCGTTGCTGCCCTTAAGGACTCCCGCGTGGACTGCGGCTTTGCAAATGGCGCTCAAGTCCGAGTAGAGGCCATTGGTGCCGAAGACTGGCAAAGAGCTGGCCTCGCTGCAGCCGGGCGGGCACTCCACCACGATGTTCGTCTGCAGATTCGGGGAAGAAAATGCAGGTGCAAATCTTTCTGCACTTCTGAAAAGAAATGCAAATGCAGCTCACGTTGGTTATTCCGAAGAACGCCGGGTGCGAAGCGGCAGACGCCTCGCAGCCGATGTCGATGTGCGGCCTGAGGCGCAAAGTGCAGCATGTTGAATTTCAATTTGCACTGAGTGCACCATTTCATTTCATTCCCTGCGGGAACCCTTACACTGCATGCACTACTTTGCTGCATGCAGCATTCAATCGCTGCATGCGCTATGCTCTGCATGCAGTGTGTGCTTGTACAGCAGCTGCTCACAGGGCGACTTGGCCTTCCCCCGCATTTGTCGAGCAGACAATAACTGCCACATTTGCTGTCTCGATGTCGAAGTAAGTGGGTTCGGCTCCAGGGAGCCTCAGGCCTGCACGGGACGGAGTGTTGTTACATGGGTGTTGGGAAACATGCAAAGTAATTAAGTGAGTCAATAAGCTGTATTATCCATTATCGTAATTATTGAGTAATCACCGGCCGTAGGCAACGCCTTTGGATTCGCATGTGAACTCGTAGAGCCCTCAAGCAGCAAAGAAGTCAAGTCCGTTGTGCCCGAGAAGAGGTCCTGAATCGATTTCAAACATGACAGCAAGTCTCACAGCGTCCTACTGTTTATTCATGTTCCGTTTACTGATCATTATAGTTATAGGCAATACTGTTGTCACTTTTTGTCAGCACTTTATTACATTAGAAGTCAATTCGGTGATTGACTTTTTTTCTACCTTGTAGGCGCCAGTGCATTTCCCCTCCAAGCAGCCCATATCATGGGCCAGCGGCAGCACTGCGTTTTCCACTTCGTCAAGTCCTGAGTGTTCGGCAAGTTTGTTTGTTTCCTGAAATATAGTGGACTCAATTAGCTTGCCGATTTGCTTCAGAGCCAGCTGGAGCGCCCGGAGGTGGCCAGCGGACTGCAGCACGAAGGGCTCCAAGCCCTTCTCCGCACACCGCAGACGCAGAGAAGTCAGCGAATGCACTTTGGGAACATTTGTGGTTTCGTCTCCAACTCCGAGTTTGACAAAAAGCAGCGAAGTGGCGCTTTCCATGGCGCAGTACACCCGAAGCGGATGCGGGGCGCACCGGGGCAGGATCCTGCAGCCCTCAGTCAATTGTGGATGGCTTTCTTTTTTATTTTATCCCTTTGACTTTTCTCACCAGTAAAACCCCGAGGGGGCCTCGGGGCTGGCGGCCTTCGCAGCGAAACAGTCTTCCGCGGGGTAGTTCGGGGAGTCGCCTGCGAGAAACGCGTGTCAGCAGCAGCAGGAGATGGGCGCGCAGCGCTGCTGCTGCTGCTGCTGCTGCTAGTGGGGGCTGTTGCTGCTGTCACCTGGTAAATAGCCCAGCTCCCGCTCGTCCCGGCCCTGGGTCTTGAACGAAAGCTTGAGGAGTTCCCCCTGGAGAGTGGCGGCAGTGGCTGCGAGGGCTTGCGTTTGCGTTTTGAGTTTTTCTTTCTCTGCGACGCAGTTCTTGGCCCTGTCGAGGCTGTCGGCTGCGAGTTTCGTTTTCTTGCCGAGAGTGCGGGAGCGCCTTAGCACGTCTTCCTCGAGCGAGTCCATCTTGGCCGCGATCTCCGAGTCGAATTCGTGGACTGGCAGTAGAAAGTACTTGTCTCGTGCGTCTTCAGAGTTCGCCGCCTCTTTGCAATCCCCCACAGCCGAGTCCAGCCGGCTCGCGAGTGCGTAGACCTCTCGAATGCCGTACACGTACTGGTCCCCCACTTTGCCGTTGGTGGTGTGCGGGTGCGTCATCAGAATGCGCACATGCTGGGCCACTGGTCCAGGGAGAGTGTCCAGGGTGACGTTCGCGGGGTTGGCGACGTTTTCAGCTGCATCCCTGGGAAAGGCCGCGCCTGAGGTGTACGGACACCGCAGCTGCAGCAGCAGACCTACGTGAACGTCTTGCCGTCCTGGCTGACTTGCACTTTGTAGGCCATGGGGGGGTATTCCCAGTCCAGGCGCAGCGCGGCCAGCCGCGCGCTTTTTCCTGAATTCCCCCGGCGTGAGCGGCGCTTTGGAGCCCCTTTCAGGGCTTTTCTGGACTCACGTCTGTCTGGAACTCACCGAGATCGATGTCGAGGGCAACGGGGTGCTCCTCGGCGTCGGGGAAGGCCCCAGAGGCCCAGAAAGTGCTCACGTCTCTGTCAAGAGCCATCGCGGGGCTGTGCGCCGCGCCCGCGGAACTGCCGCTCTGAGCTGCAGCGCCGAAGGCCACGGCAATGTCCCCAGTCCCCGGCTCAGTGCCGTGGCTGTTCTGCTGCGTCAGGCAGTAGAAGCCGGCGCGGTCCAGCCTTAGCTGGGAGTTGGGCTCGGGGGTCCAGGTGGAGCGCCCGTCGCCTTCTTCGAGGGCAGCGAGGCAGTTTCCGAGGACCACTGCGCCTCCGCCTGCAAAACGCATGCATTTAGTTGGTCAATTTGAGTTTTTTTGCCACATTTGGGGGGAAAAATGAAGAGAAATGGAGGCGAAAGACACAGATCGCACCCTCCACCTTGCCGTCCTGCAGAATGATGCATTTTTTCGGCTGACTCCGCATGGCCACAATTTGCCTGTTGGCGTTTTGCACCCAAATTTCCTGCAAGATTTCATGAGGAGATAATTCTAAGGGCCAGCGAAGCAAAACGAACTCGGCCGTCGCCAGCAGCAATGGCATTAGTGCATGTGTCCAGGACTACGTGGGCTCCGTCTTTGTTGAAGGCGCCGCCCTCGACCTGAGAGAAAGCTGTGCTGCTGCCTCTTTGCAGAATAGAAAGGCCTTTTACCTGCAGGCACATTTCGCCGTCTTTGCTGGTGATGCCGCTCACAATCATCAGCTGCGGCTCGCCAGTTTCCAGCGGCTCCACGAGGCTCATGCCGAAGTAGTCGTGCAGCGACTTGCGCATTGCAATGGACACCGCCTTGACGGTGCGCGGGTGGTCGAAGAAAATGTCCTCGTTGAAGGCCACTGAGCCCGTTCAGCTTCCAGCAACGCAGCAGCAGCAAATGCACAGAGTCGGGCGAACCGTCGCTGCTTGGCGTTCTTTTGAACGGGCTCGCCACTGTCCAGTTTCGCCCGTCCGCGGAAACCGACAGCTGCACAAGCTGCGAGCAAGCAGCAAGGAAGCCGCAACTTGTTGTTATTTGGATCTTGCATTTGTTGCAGCACGCACGAACCTCGGGAGAATAAGCCCAGCCGATGCGCAGGCCGCGCAGCAAGGTCGGCGCTTCCAAAGTTGCACTCCAAGTGACTGCGAAGAATCACGGGAAGATCAGCGGCTGGAAACATGTAACAAAAGGAATTTAAACTGACCCTGCTCATCGTCAGTGTGTTGCCCTGCGCTGCACCAGTACGAAGGCCCCGGCTGCAGCGCCTGAGCCGCCTCGAACTCCGGACCCTGGGTTGACGACGCCTTCGCCTGCTCAAACTTAACTGTGCCTTCAGCCGCTCGCCCGTAGATAACAAGGGTGAGGAAAAGCGGTAGAAGCAGCCGGCAGACCCTCGTCGTTTCTACGACAGCAAGGACCATCGTGTTCAGATGACAGCGCCGTGCTGCTGTGGAAAGCCGCAGTTGGAACGCTTCAACTCCGTATTTAGTTCTGCCTGCGATACTCTCGAGTATTTGTAACTTCAACCGCCAGAAGCGTAACTTAGCAATAACTACGCATTTTTTATTTGATTTCATCGGTCGTTTGACAATAATCATCTCGACCACCTACAGCACTAACAGGTGTATCTGCAGCTCGCGTGAAGGTGACCACTGCGAATGCAGGAACCAACTACTGGAAACTGCGTCACAACTCGTCTTATGAACTCAAATACTCATGATACTTTGTCAGTTGTTCTACTGTCATATGCTTCTTGCTGCGTGCTGGTAGCTGAAGGTTCTAGGTGCGCTTTCGGTGCCGGCCGTCTCATGCGTTTCTCAATTCTTGATAACAAACATTTGCCGAAGCAGCCATTGAACAGCATTCTGCAAATTTCGGTTTCGGCACGTTTGAGGTCCATGTATCTTCACCATTTGGCATCGTAATGGTTATGAGAATACAGGAAAACAATTGCACTTAAATATCATGCATGGCTCTTTGGTTTCAGGCGGTGCCCTGCCGCCGAAGTCAATACTTCGAAGGAGCCATGGAATCGGGCCCTCTAAAAAGAAATACAGGCCATACAGAGCGCTTAACTGGGACGGCGTGCGTTTCCAAGCACCTGCATGGCTGCAGCAGCTGTTAGCGCAGCCGCCGCATCACATTTCTCAAGGCTGTACAACATGGACGCTATTGTATCACCGAGCGGAGCTTGGACGAGCTTTAAATCCGAGCATTGAGTTCGCTCGCCTCATCTGTTAAGGTCACTTGGGGGCAAACGCAATCAGGAATACGCAAGCGGCACGACAGCATGGGCGTCTGCGCGCGTTCTTTGGCTGTCTGCGCCTCCTTCGATTTTGAAGAGAAGTGGCTGGCGTGTAGTCTTCCGCGTTGCTGCTTGCTGCGCTGCTGCTTGCTGCGCTGCTGCTTGCTGCGCGTGTGCGCAGCAGCCCCGGCCGCTCAGGGCGACAGCAGCGGCGACTCCAGAGACAGGCTGGGGGCCGCGCGGGCCGCGTCCCAGCTGCTGTACCTGCGCAGGGGCTCGCTCTGGCAGCGGGCTGCGTCTGTCTGGCCGGGGGCCCTGCCAGTGTGCACCAGCACCACGCTTTCCTCCTCCCTGGGAAGCAGCCAGTAGGCAACCTCCCGCAGCTTCTGCGGAGTGCAGCGGCAGTCGGCCCAGCGAAACACGTGCAGCAGCCGGTAGCGGCCGCCCCCCAGAATCTGCTTCACCCGCAGCTCCCGCAGCGAGGCCTCCACCACCAGCTCCTCCGGCTGCGCCCGCACGCGCGTGGCCACCAGACACACCCCCACGGGAACAAAAGTGGAGTCGAAGAGGGCCCCCGCGGGGACTGCGAAGTGCGGGGCCGTGGAGCGGGAGGGTATGTACACCGCGAAGGACTCCGGCGAGAGGTTCACGGCCACCCGCCACACAGAACTCACCCCGTTCTGGTCAATGTAGAACGACAGAGGGTCCCCCTTCACAAACATGCAGTCGTGGGGAATGGGCTTGCGCACCACCAGCGCCCCGGGGTAGTGCAGCAGACGCCGGGCCTCCCGCCGGAGGCCCTGGATCTCGTTGGGCTTCAGCCGGAACTCCAGCAGGCCCCGCTTGCGGTTCACCAGTACAGACACCGCACGCACGCTGAACACGCCGTAGCGGCGCGCGTCAGCCAACTCGTCCAGCGTGTAGTTCAACAAACAGTCCCGCAGCTGGCTGGGCGAAGGCAGCGCGGGAACGTAGAAGCTCGTGTGGTAAAGGCCCGGGTAGGCATTCGCAGAGTGGTGGTCTCTTCCGTACAAGTCGTAGGAAGAGCGAAAGCTGTGGACCCCTAGGCCTACGTCGATCCTGTTCATGCCCACCAACACCTCGGGAAACTCCAAAACCTCCCGCGACTCCCACTCGTGGCCATTCGCTTGTGCCCAGCACAAAATACCCAGAAAAACTGCGACATAACTGTGGGCTGCATTAAGAGACCGCATTTTGTCGTCTCCACAGCAGGCAGAATGTGCTGGAGCCTTCTTGTACAAACGCAGAAGGTAATGACCAGGAAAAGAGCCAAACCTGACAAGGGAACGCAGTAACAGCTAAGTATCGCACTTGGAAGACAGGAAAAAGAGGCCAAAAGAGCAATGCCGAATTGACACTGCCCGGCAAGGCACAACCGCCACAGCCCCAACGACCCCAAGGAGGCGAAACAATTGGCACACCTCATAAGGATCCGACTTGCTAAAACTGTCCCTAGTAGACGCAAAATCTGCATCCAAAACAGGCAAATGTAACTTAACTCCGGAAAATATAACGATACCAATTGTGAAAGCCACGCTGGCATTACAATAACGCAATCCTTTTCAAATCTGAGATAAGGCAGAATGGCCGAGTGGTCTAAGGCGCTGCGTTAAGGCCGCAGTCCGAGAGGGCGTGGGTTCGAACCCCACTTCTGTCAGCTCTTTCGATATCATTCGATCGTTAAATCAGGAATGGAGTCACCATTTCGAATAATTTCATGCTTTTGCGTTAACAGTTTCACAGACAGCGCCGCTCCCTGGAATTACGCTGAGCCGACGCTCGCTCTCGGCACCGTCCACATTTGTGGGGATTCGGGGTGCTCAGAGAGTCAAAAGTTATTTAGCCTAATTAAAACGAATTTCCAGTCTAATCTGTATGCTACAATAGTGCATTAGTTAGTGTCAATGATGCAGCCTTGTTCGGGATTTGATTCTTAAAGGATTCCATCACGGATCGGAGCTCCTCAGATGACGGTCGGCCCCAGGCAGAATGGCCGAGTGGTCTAAGGCGCTGCGTTAAGGCCGCAGTCCGAAAGGGCGTGGGTTCGAACCCCACTTCTGTCAGCTCTTTTCTTTTCACCCATAAAGGAGCGACTCTGCAGCAATAGAGCGACTGCTTTATGCATATCCGATCACTTGGGCTTAGTCTAAAACATTATTCACTGTTCAGGCAAGCTCGTCGGCATGCAATACGAATATTTCAAAGGTCTCCCTGCGTTCGCAATGGCCACATCAGAGGCTTAGGTACACCTAAAGTAGGGGGATCCTACCCTTTGTGGGGCACCAAGGAGCAGCAGCAGAACGCAAAAGCGAGTGGGGAGCCACCAAAGCATCTCGAAATTATTTTCCCACGCATGTTACATATTCGATGGTTTCAGGGGTATCACTGTGTAAGAAGGCATTACCCGTTCACACTGTACCATATGCAAGATCCAACGCCCTCACGCGATACTGTGCTCATGAAACACAGTGTAAATGAGCGCCCTACAGCCAGGGGACATGATTGGGACAAAGTAGTCACTCTATAAATCCTTTAGAGGAAAATTTGTAGGCATCCCAGCCAAGCGTCTACAAATAAGACAGACAGACTTGGCAATTCTCACATAACACCACAGTGGAGTGAGCAAGTGGCGTGACATTCGGCAGAATGGCCGAGTGGTCTAAGGCGCTGCGTTAAGGCCGCAGTCCGAAGGGGCGTGGGTTCGAACCCCACTTCTGTCAGTGGCGTTCGTGTTTTGGCGAATAGAATGTTGGTTACTTGCGTATATCATTCCAATCTCGCTAACCTTTCCTACGCAGCGTATCCACACTCACCTGCACAATTGCAGCATTCTTAAAAGAACTTCTGATTTCAGCCATAGGTAGGGAGGCGCTCCCGAAGTAGTAGTCACGCATTTTAGGCCTACACAAATTTACAGTTTCACCAGATGTTGTTTATCACGTGCTATTGGAGTCGATTCGGGTCCCATTAGTGTGTCTAGTCTTCTGTGTTGCCCGTACAAAATATTGCTTTAGGTTTCATCGTTTTCACAATCAATTCAGAGCAACAGTCTGTGTTTCTTTACCGGTATCACGTCTCACACTTTCCTAGAGCACAGTGAAGAGCCTCTACCAGAACTGATGTAGTCATGTGGAGCAACCTCAAATGCGTTTGAGAGGAGATCGCTGGCAATTCTAATGCATTATTAAATACGAAAAATGCAATTTTCAGAGTTAAGGTTAATTGCCTGACTTATTCCGGTGACTTTCGGCAGAATGGCCGAGTGGTCTAAGGCGCTGCGTTTAGGCCGCAGTCCGAGAGGGCGTGGGTTCGAACCCCACTTCTGTCATTTCCGTTCATCACGGCTTTACTGTTTAGTTAATTACAGTGATTAACGTGTTAGAAATTGACTTCAAGTAAAGTGTGACTCTTCCGCACTACAGCCCGCACAAACAGCCCCGTAGAGACACAAGGCGCTATGAGAGCCCTCAGTAAATCATATCGGTCTCAATAAATTAATTCGAACACGTAAAAAGTGTTTTTCCAGAAAGC